GAGCAGCTGATCTACCCTACTGACTTACTACAAAGTCCCGGGCCATCAGAAGGAGGAAGAAAGGAGCAAGTGAGACCCAGGGCTTCAGTGTGAAGAGCTCTTAGCCTGCCCCCTCCTCAAACTCCAAGGCTCAGTGCTGCTCTAGGAAAAGCAGGAGGTTAGGGTGGCAGTAGTACCAAGTTGAAAGGCAAGCCAAAGGAAGTTCAGGAAAGGAAACATTGGGGCTGTGCAAGTTGAGACTATTGTGAGAACTTGGGAAGGCTGGAGAACATTCTGCCAGGAAAGAAGTTAGGATGTGTACATATATTCAAGAAATGACAACACACCTATTGTGGGCTTGTAATGCAGGGATGGGAAAGAGATCCATATACTTACGAGTGATCCTTAATGTGATATATTAAATTCAGGGTCAAATTATATACTCTCACTGGTTTTGAAAACAGATAACATCATTGATAGCACCCACCAGTTTCTCCAAATTCCATGCATAGTCAGTCACCAGGTCAAAAAGGCCGGTGACTGCAATGTAGCTGTAAGACCCCTGAAATAGGAACAGTATTAGCAAACTGTTTTCACAGTACATTACTTTAAGCAAATCCATTTTCCTACATGTACATAACTTGCTTGAAAAATATGCTGACCAGTTTGTGATTCAGCGTGCCACCCAAAAATAATTAGCTTGCGCATGCTTTGTTTCAGACTGCCTTTCTCATTTGGCAGACCTCCTTGGTAGGTGAAGAGGGTATCATAAACTTGGGTATGTTTTCTTCCATTACGTAATGTTTGGTAAAAAAAAAAAAAAATTGCAAGCACATTCACACACACACACACACATATTAATGGAATAGAGGTGAAAAGGATTAAAATATGGGATATAGAAATATGGAACCAAAAGATTAGGTTGCTTAAGGGCCCTTTTGGACCAATCTAAAAAGGGATTAGAGGATACCTATTATTTAAGCAAAATAATAAAAAGGATTAAGAAAATAACTTTCACAGGATTAAAATTATCTTAAAATCTTGAGATGGCAAGCAAGGTGACTATAGTCCATTTTACACTTAATCAGACATGATTTTCTAATTATCAGATGTGGTTTAAACAAAGCTGACTATTGCCAAATAGCCATTTATGTAATGTATTAGACCAGTGTTTCTCAACCTTGACAATTTTAAGGCATGTGGACTTCAACTCCCAGAATTCCACAGCCAGCAATGCTGGCTGTGGAATTCTGGGAGTTGAAGTCCACATGCCTTAAAATTGTCAAGGTTGAGGAACACTGTATTAGACTATTACAGCTTCCTTAATCCCAAACCAGCATGAAGGTCATGTCGATCCCATTTCTATACCCCCGGGCCGCAACCCGTTTGGAACCAGACTGTGCAAGCACTCGCCCACAGCTCCACTTGCACAAATGGTGGCTGCTCACAAAGCTCCATTTGCACAAGCGGCAAGCACTTGCATTCACAGGCAAAGCTCCATTTGTGCAAGCACGCATCCACTTGTGCGAATGGAGCTGCATGCACAGCTGCCACTGACATGGAATCATCCCCTTCCTTCTTTCCCCCCTCCCCTCCCCCCCCAAGGTTGTGGACTGATGGTGTACACAAGTTCTTCCTTTGCCATTAAAATGACATTCGGAGAATGAAAATGGGCAGTTTTACTTGGGGATTTAATTAGAAAATAGGCCATTATACACATTATAGAACGTTCATATTATACTGTTCAAAAATAAGATTCTTGCAGATATATTCAAAGAAACACACACAAGTCAGCCTTAGACAAAAAAAATTCTCTCAGGATAGCCATTTAATGACACTTTTAAAATATATCTCAGAGGTGAACAGGAGATTTAAAATAGCATACAAGATCTGTTTGGTAATAAATTAATGTATGCTTATAAATAGTTGATTGTGTATATACTCTGTTCATTCAAGGAACATGATGCTCCATTTAAAAGCTGTTTATTCTTCAGCTTCAGACCCTTCATCATCATGACTGATCTGGAAATAACGCAGCTCATAGGTCTCCTTGTCGGATGCTACCACTCGCAACCAGTCACGAAGATTGTGCTTCTTGAGGTACTTCTTTGTGAGATATTTAAGGTACCTTTAACCATATGAAGAAAGTGATTTAGGTACAATACTTCATTTGAGAATCTACTAATTAGAAAGCAAAAAAAAAGCAGACAAGAATTTGGAGAACCTTAGCAGTTATCTGTCGAGTTCACTCTAATTTAATCAAGCCAAACAGGAAGACTGTGAAACTGAATTCAACTGTAAACTCATTTCAAGATATCAAAAATACACCTCTATCACCTCCAGCCCTTATTTACTTCTAACCTTGCAAGACTGTTGTGGGGATGGTTGGGAATGATACAAAAAACTTCCAAACTGCATTGCTACGTGTATAATTCCTCCCTACACTCTTCCAACAAAAGAACAAGACCCAGTAGTAAGGATCTTATGTAGAAATATGGTATCAGGTAAAACGGCAAGTCCAATTGTTATAGGGTCTTTGCATTAAACTTGCCATCTAATGCAATATATTTTACAAAATATTTAATTTAAAATTAATGATGATGCAAGGAGCTAAAGAAAAGTTGCAATACACTATTAAAGAAAACCAACCTTTTTGAGAACTGCTTTTCAGACGTTACTGTGATTTTATTTTTAAAACGTTCAATGTGAACTACATTTCCCAGGTTTCCTGTTTTTCCATTGACTTTAATTCTCTCATTCAAGAACTGTTCCTAATTAAATAAAAACAAAAGAGAACACTAGGGAATGGTGCCCTAGGTATGGGTCTAGGGAAGGAACCCTAGCCAGCCAACATTTGTTATTTACACTCACTGAATATAATTATACCATACAAGCACCTCCCCGTGAAAGTCTTTTATTAAAATTAATCCCACCCCAGAAACTTAACACAATACATGCTATTTCTATATGCAAGCTTTCTAGTATCAAATTATACAGCTATGCAGTATATCTGGTAGCTAAGGGACTACACTAGATGAAAAGTATATTTAATAACACAGAATTAAACTTAATTATCTTTTCAGGGAAAGATTTCTCACAGCCAAAATTGTTTTCCACATTTGTTTGGCTGAAATTAAATATGGCTAATTTCTCTTAAAAGAAACTGCAACCATGAAAATTGTCCATCTTCCTTAACACTTAAGCTTCACTACTATTCTACTATATAGACAGGTAAGAATTAAGAACTACTTACAAAGTTTCCTGAGTCAAATATGCCATCTTCCACAGGATGGGTGAGATCAAGGTTATACTTGCAAGTTGTTTTTTTCAGCTTGTCTTTTTGCTGAAAGAAACCCAAACACATCCCTTAGGTTAGCATCTATTTTTATTTTGACAATTTCAAGACCTAAATATTCTGTAGGAGGGTCTTTCCTAATCTGGAATCCTGCCATGGGCTGGATTGAGATGCACTGGAAACCAACACACAATGGATTGATCACAGGTTTTATTTAATCTCTATCCACAGCTGGCTGTGCAATTCTGAGAATTAAAGCCCACTCACCTCAAGGGCACTGAAACTGAGAAACATTGATCTACAGGATGATACCTGCCCCCCCAAAGCAACCATCATTAATCCATAGATACTTATTTCATCATTAACTTAGCTAGGCCCCTTCCATTCCCCCCTCCCCAAGGCCCAAGGCAGGGATCTTCATACTTGGCCCTTTTATGACTTGTGGACTTCAACTCCCAGAATTCTTCAGCCAGGCACGCTGGTCTAAGGAGAGTCCTTTGCAAGGCAACCCACGCAGGAACAGGCTTAACCGCCCACTCTTGCCAGTGCAGTCTCCTTCTCGGACCAGCTTCTCCCCAGCTGCCAACGAGAGCACGAAGGACCGAGGCCACAGCCACCCCACAAGGTTTCGAGGTCGCCCCCCTTCCCTTGAAATAACCCGCACCGCCTCGCCAGGTCAACAACCGCTCACCGGCGCCATAGCGGCCAGGCCCTCGGATTTCGGAAAGAGCGAGCGTGTAGCACGGCCTCTCTTTTATATCGACCCGCCTATGACGCAATCTACGTAAGGCGTGCCGCACGCGCCCAAGGGCAACTGTGGGCGCATCTAGAAAGCGCAGCTCCCTGATTCCGGTTGGGGCGTTTCTGGTTCCATAAGAGGCAAGGCATGCCGGGTAATAGCTCTATTCACACGTGTTGAGAGCGCAGTTTCCGGGGTTCTAAGGTTACCAACCGAAGGCTGGTAATCGGCAAACTGGTGCTTCCCAAACATCTGTCCGACTGCAATTATTTCTTATCTCTGCGTATTTGTTCTGTACATAATGGTTTGAGAGTTTTCTAGGATGAGTGGTTCCCAGTTGAGCGAGAATGAAAAAATAACGTTTGTGTCAATCAGAAGGGCAAAGACAGAAATGCAGTAGTTTTGTAATAAATATGCCAACGAGCCTTTTTTTTTATTAATTAGAATTTTAAATAAGGGGTGCACAACTCTTGGCGGATAGGTGCCAGCTCAGAATAGAGCCAAGAAAAGCAAAACGGGGAGTAACGTTAACCCCTTTGCTCCATTCGTGGGATTTAAATTTGCATTTCAATACCTCCGAAGTTTCAAGGATTGGGGGAGCTAAGCACTCTGACATTCAACAGACATTATAGAGTATTGATTAGCAGCATTCTTGCAGTTTTAGCACTATGCAGCATTTACCCAGTTAAAGCAGGTTTGCTAAGTTACTTTAATTTGAAAGGTCTCACAGGAAATATTCCAGTGAGTATCCTACTTTGGCATTAAGGGAATGAGATATTTTAGATTTGGCCAAGTGTATGTGGTTGGACCAAGTCTAGTAGAACTATAATCCTGTGGTAATGAACCTACAAAATGATTAAGCTATCTTAGTATGAGATTCTGGTTAAAAAAAATCCCCAATACCCAGGATACTGTTTTGTCTTGAGCCAAATTTGCTGGAGAAGACATGACTATGGTGAACAGGAAATATAGAAGGGACAATAAAAATAGCCTTTAAGTTTAAACTTTATTTTTTGTTACTGTGACTCAAATAATTCAAACATTTTGTTAAAACAAGTCATTAAAAGCCAAGAACTCTTAAACATATGAATACTTCACTATTACAGAAATGCAGAAAAAGTACAAACCTTTCAAGTTTTGCTTTTAAAGTCAAGGGCACTCTTATATAATGAACTTTGCATACATTACTTGCCAGTAGGTATAATTGCATACTTATGGGAGTTTCCTATTGTGGCAAATACAAAACCTCCCCCCCCACATTTAATTTAAAACAATATGACTTTTTTAATGTAACAGTCACTGAATGTGAAAGCCCAGAATTCTACAAGTACAGTACCACAATCTATCTAAACACCACAAAGATCAATGTCTCTAATTATACTGTGAAAATTTTTGATAGTAACAAACAAGAATCTTGCTCTTTACATACACACAAAAATTTAACACAGCTTATTCCGTTAAAATTCCCAGACATAGTCAGCATTCCAACATTTAAAGCTTACTGTTGTCAAACATGTCACCTCTTACAGGGTAGATGGATCACAATGTCTGACTCCTTTAATTCAATATACTAAATTTTACTTGTGTCCTAGGCATGCTATAAATTTATGCAATACAAAACCCTGTTACAACTTTTAAGCAGCTTTGTTAAAATAATCAACTTAAGCTCTTTCACATCTTCACAAGAGCAGCCCTGAGAAGAATACACTCAAGTCATGGCTCAACTAGCAGTGGTTTCGTTGCACACAGATGCACAGATGCAAGACAACAAAGACATCAAGAGGTAAATTGGGGTTTTAACAAAAGAATCCCTAACATCTAAGGAAAAAAAAATCTGCAGTCCAATGAACAAAAGATAATGGACCCCAAGCAAATAGCTTAGATCACAACAAACTGACAACAGGACTATTTCAGACTTAATTTTGGCCCTCAGCTTATAAGATTTTGACCCTGCTCTTGAAAATTAAATGTGATTGGTTTCAGCTGAAAAGTAAAAACAATCTAAACATGGATTCATAGAACATGATGGCCCTGAAATAGCTTAAAGAACCTGAAATATATAGCATTGTTTCAATAGCAAAGTTTATTGTAAACTTAGTGGGTTTGTAGACAATTAACATCTACAAGAGAAATGGCTTTGCTATTAGCTTATTGGAAATACTGTAGTTTTACCGGTGTCCTACATAAGATCTACCTAATAGATATTGTATTTCTTCCTGATCTACCTTATGTAATTTGTGGTTTCAGACTGCTAGGAATTAATTTGAAGTCTAAGTACCACCTTCAGGAGTAGGTACTTCTGGTAACAAATTCCTAAAAGATGATACCACTAGGGAGATACTAGCAGGACTCCTTAAAATTATGACTTCAGTATTCTCAGCTGCTCAGGCACAATAGATAACTGTTGGACAAATGATCATCACAAATGATACTAGCAAATGGAAATTCACATTTCAAACTGTGACTTCCATTCCTATTATGGATATTGACAATACAGTATTAAGGAACACTCACATGATTAAACTTTTAACAATACACTAGAATCCTTCAGCTTCCTAGTAGCCCTAGATCTTGAAACATGTAGTAATTTACCACTATAACAAGACTGTGCTTTTTTCAAGAGTGTTTATTGCCAAATTAAGTTGTATTGTGCCCATTCTGCATAGATACCTGCTTAGTTAAATCTAGAGCTTATAAAGATCCAGATGCAGTTTATTTTCCTTCTACTCTAGCTGTACTGCTTAAGGGCAATTTTACTAACAAGCTCAAAATCCTATTTACTATTCCCCCCCAAAAAAACTGCCAATGAATTAAGCATGTTTTAAGAATCTAGTCACTAATTCAAGTTAGTTATTTGTTACCAAAATGTAAGGCAAATTTAAGTAATTAGGTTTTCCCCAAATGCTAATCAAGCTGAAACATGATCTTGCAAGCAAAGATCATATGGATAATAGGTTGATTAGTAATCAGGCATTTGCCTACGCAGTCTAACCAATCCTTCTCAAGTAGACTTTGAATCAGATCAGTTCTAGTATAATCCAGAGGTTCATGTGTTTGACAGAGTGCGCTATCATAGTTCTTTATAAACTCTACAAGACAATCCATGGCTCAAATTCTGTTCAGTGACACAGGGTTGAAATTTAGCCTTCAGGCCATTGATACATGCAGGTTTGCTCCAATTCCTAAAAAAAAGTTTACTTCTGCTATAAACCAAAAAAAGAGTTAAAAGTCAAATCAAATACTGTAACTCTTGAGGCATTGCCTTGTTTTAAAACTGGAAGTGGCTGAACTCTACATTGAAAACAAAGGCCTCTAGTGAATCTCTTCCTCTCTACCCTGCTCCAACATTTGTGCACTATTAACCAGAGTATGAAAGCATCCAGCATTCTGGATGTTTACATCACAGCAAATTGTGACCAATTAAGAGCAAGCCAGCAAAACTAGTTTGCTGCACACAGCCATCAGCACTGGCATTTTGATCATATGAGTTCTGTTGTCTCTAGCTCAGTTATGCTTCACAATTCAGTGCAAGCCACATTTTATCATGTTTAGGATTTTAAAACAAAATTACTTTCGTTTCTTTAAAATGTAAGTAAACTCAAACTGAGTACTACCTTGGTATTGGCACTGCTATAGTCTCATTTGAGCAAAGCATACTACTTTTGAATACCTCATGATCTAAAATGACAGTTTTGACTGCCTTGCCATTCCTGTAAGCACTTGAACTTCAGCAATTTTAATATTGCCAAACTGCTTGCAACATCAGTCAGCACTATTTTCAAACAAAGACACGAGGTTGCTAGTGAAGGTTATAGCTTTGGTGATAATCAGAACTAAAATACAAGATTTGCAGTTGCTGGTACTTTAGCAACTGTTTAATCCAGGTGGTCCTATTTGCAAGGTTTTATGGCTACAGCACACTCTTCACTCATTGCAGACATGACTGACACCTACAGAAATGGAAAAAAGAATTTTGTTAGGTTCTACAATTCCATTATATTATCATATCAATTAATATATCTATGGTAGTTTGCTATGTTATTAGTTTTGAAATTACTATTCCTACAGCTAATTATTGGGAAAATCATTGGTTTCCCATAAATATAAGAAAAGCTAGGAAAGCACACTAAGCAAAAATGTGGTTTACTTATTTATGGACTATTGTATATGAATCCAAGCAGAGGAGCTTATAAACCAGGGTTAATGATTTTGTGGATGTGAATCCGGCTAATTTTGCTTTGTTCATTAACTGTGCATTGAAATGTTTTCTTAATCATGGATACTCAAAATAATGTGGAAAACCAACAATAAGGTATTTTAAGCATTCCTAGCTATAGTTAAAATTCATGTTCATTGTTAAGCATAGAGCACACATTGGCAACTTGCACTTAGAACATAAATGCTAAGACAGAAACACACCTAACTCAGACCTAACAATATTTTTGACATTTTAATCTGTGTAGTTTTTAATGTTTTAATTATTTTTACTTGTTTTATAACTTGTAAACTGCTTTAAGTCACCTTGTGGGGAGATGAATGGCATAAAAATTTAATAAACCAACAAATAAAAAATAAATAATACACTTGGATTCTAGATAGAAAGCACTTCCTTTGCTTTAGAGAAAAAACTATTATTCATGAAGGAAAAGAAAAGGTATCAGAAACACTCCTACAGTAGTTGACGTCACTATCAAGAGAGTTAAATGGGCATCCTTACCTGGAAATCTTCCCCTGCGTTGTATTTTCCTTCTATTTCTTTGCCTAATTCACCTTCTGGGACTTTCAGATCTTCTCGAACATCTCCACTTTCTGTCAGCAAAGAAAGGTAGCCATCCTGTATACAGATTAGCTGCAAGTATAAAACATTTTATTCAATTACATTCTTCATTAAAATGGGGAATTATAGAACCACCGCTTTGAAAATAAAACTTTTATGTTGTTCTTTTTGAGAACACCTATCCTGAAGTTATCAGAATGACCTGTGAAGTTAAAATATCCTCACAACATATTTTTCAGTATTGCCATTTCTCAAACCAATTTTTAAGCCCATATATTTTAAAGAACTAAAGTATGATTTCTATTTTCTCACAATTAATCATAGATGTCAGAAAATCTTTTTAGAAGACTTTATCAGAAATGGGAAGATAAAAAGAATGTTCTTTATTGTTCATTTTTAAAACTATTAATGTTAATTCAAACCAAGATTTATCCAAAGGTTTTAGATTTTTAGGAATCTTGGTACCATCTGGCAATATTCTAAGATGGGTAATACCATTCCACAATTGGAGAATTTTGGAATATTCCACTTCTCCAAATAATACCAATAATACCAATCTGGCTGGAACAGGTGGTACACATTTACAACAGATACAAAGGACAATGCGATAGTATTATGCCATAGATAATGCAGCATAATTTTATTATGTAATGGTAACTGGAGACTGGAAAGAAATGAAATGCTTATAATCAGTTAGAACCTAGCAAGAAGAAAACCATTTGATTACTACTGCTTCCTAAACTCACATGTACAAGTAGTCCTTGACTTACAATTCATTTAGTGACTATTCAAAATTACAACAGCACTGAAAAAAGTGACTTATCACCATTTTCACATGTATGACTGTTGCAGCATCACCATGGCAAGAAAGGTTGTAAAATGGGATAAAATTCACTTAACAAATATCTCACTTAGCAACAGAAAATTTGGGCTCAATTATGGTCATGAGTTGAGGACTACCTGTATGTTCATGTTCTTTCTAGAAACATGTAAATCATACAATCCAGAATATTATATGGCAACAACTGTAATGAGACCTTTTAGGATCCTAAAATAACAGATAATTGATACTACACAATATTAAACTGTGAAAAACCCCATTAAGAATAAACTGTTGCAAATCTAGGTATCCATGAATCAGTTTAAGCACCACAAAGTAACAATTGGGCAGCCTAAGTATATGGAGGTCCACAGGGTGCCCCATTTCAATTTAGACCAGGTTCCCCAAGGTGAGGCTTCCATTTTGTACACATCTAGACAGCAAGGTCCAAGGAAAGCCTAAATCAGTGGTTCTCAACCTTTTTAATGCCACGACCCCCAACCGGTCGTAAGTTGAGGACTAAACCAGTCGTAAGTTGAGGACTAAACCGGTCGTAAGTTGAGGACTATCCAACCGGTCATAAGTCGAGGACTTTCCCTGCCTGGGAGTGCCGCGCATGCGTGGTGCCGCCCCCTGCGCCGGCCAAGGCGTAGCTGGCAAGCGGCAGAGACAGAGCAGGCTGACCACCGGCTGGGCCACCAGCTGGCCCAGCCCAAGGGAGGTAAGGCACCCGCTGGAAAAGGGGAAAAAAAATGGCGGACAGCCTTGCTTGGCGACCCCAAATGGGGTCGCGACCCATAGGTTGAGAACCGCTGGCCTAGATGCAGAGACATTTACCTGATAATCATTCCTCTTGATATTTGGAACATCCATATTGTGAGTGGAAGGGCATATATCTTCATACTTTTTGCCAGTGAACACATCAATACCAACTAAATGAACCTATTTAGAAAACATTCATAATCATGTAATTAGGTTACCAAGAATATTGTATTTCACATTTTCTTATATTTATTCAAATCTTCCCACATAACATCTCTTAAAAAAAGTTGAGGGGAAACAAACTAGCTATGAACATGTGTTTCAATACAGATTCTGCAGTATTATGAATATAAGTAACACTTTTAAAGACCTGTTTCATTTCTAATGTTATCACTGATTAAAATGTCATAAACTTGATGTTTTGTACTATGCCTATTTTAGATCTGTTTTCCCAAAAGCTCAAAACTATTAGCAGGTGTTTGCATTATACATAATAGCTGTGTTAAAGTTTTGTATGTAAGCTAATCCCCAAGATCAAGTATTTAAATGCAAATTCATTGCAGGGCCTTAGGCAAGACAATGGGTGGGTAAGTGGGGTAATTTATGGAGAAGCAAGTTCCCAAGATTAATTTAAATGTCAACTGTCCAACTCTTAGCTACAAACTATTTTGCTGAGGTGCAATCTATCAGAAGATTGCAAATTCCAAAGGTAACGTTAGTTCAAGTTACTTCTATATTCTTTATGAAACTGACTTGTAAAATTTTATTAATTAATTCAGTCTAGGTATGTTTCAAATCTTAGACTAATTTGTAGAAAGAAACCATGCTCCAAACTGGCATTTGGATTTCTTTCACCCCTTCATTTCTTGTGCGAACAGATTCTCCCCATCATTTATTGGCATACAAGTTCAATTATGACAAAGCACAGAAAAGACCATGTTGACTAGCAATTCTGCAGTTTCTAGCCCAAAACATTTAGAAAGTAACAGACCATGGAGAACTGGTAAAAAAAACGATATGCAGAATTATAGTGCTTAGTCCAATTTGCCACTTTGGAATTCGTTCACTTTAAATATGTTCTATTTGGACAAACAAGATAGTATGAAATTTTATTTGATGAATTGAGTCACAATACTAGCGCACCACCACTCAGAGTGGTCAGAATCAATTTGTAAGGACTACCAACTACAAATGCAGTTTAAGCAAAAATGAAATAGTGGCAAATTGTTAATATTCACAAGAGACTATTTGTGCATCAAAGCAGTAAAACAGGTAAATTATACTCTGGGATTACCTTGGCATGACCATGCTTGCCAGTTTTGGAAGTTGACATTTCCACAATCTTGCAGGGACGTCCCTTCAGCACCACAAAGCCATTCTTACGGAGTGCAGAACACTGCATTGGGTAAGTGGCAGAAGCACCAGCATCTCCAGTGGTGAAGTCAACTTCATCCGCCATAGTACAAAATGAATTCTAGAAAATACTGTAATTTCCAAGAGACAGTTCTCAGCCTCTTTATAAAGATATTAAAATTACTACTAATGCTTTAACCTAATGCATTATCTACATAGTGTTCTGCACCAAAGGGTAAGTAGGGTTTATTCCTCTCTCCTTATAGATGTTAGTCTGTTTCACAAACTTTTTTGCTCAGTAGTATATTAGGTATACTATCCTCTATAAATATCCAATTCTTCACCATTTAGATAAGAGCTTAAATTAGAATTTTACACCTTTTAAATATGCATTGTCTAGATGAGGGGGAAGAAAAGGGGAAGCTTCAGAAAAAAGTTATGATTTCAAATCAGTGTGGAATTCCAATGGGGTACCAAAGAAGAGATGTGGTCACTGTTATGTAATAGCTAGGATAACAAAGCTTTCCAACGCTCGGTAACTATTTATAAGAGTGTCTGGCAACAATACAATCTGAGGTATCTTTCAAAGTTGCTTTTTCAGATTATATCCTCCAGGAGCCATCTATATAATTAAGAAACAAAATTATTTTGGCAAGGCCACATTTGAAATGCTTGAGAAAAGTGAAGGGAAGGAAGCAGTTGGGAAACTAATATACTAAACTTATTTCAATTAATAATGATGGCTAAATCAGACCAGATTACAATTACTGCAATGGTTTTATTGAAGTCTGGCCATAAAACTAGTGCTGAATGCATTGCGGTTCAGTTTTGGTAGCTTCAGTTTTGATAGCTTAAACAGAGTTATTTGTCATTATAATTGTCACAAAGAAACCTGATTCATCACCCTGTAGAAGCTACAAGGGTGTATGCTCTGTGTACGTGCAAGTGCAAAGTAAGGAAGGCAGCAGCTGCAGCCAGATGCAAAAGAGACTGCATTTTGGCAGATTCTTGCCTGCTCCCCCTCCATGAATGGCAAACGCCTCCTTTTTTGTGTCTTAATATCCAGACCAGTTCCTAAGAGGAAGACTGACTCTTGTTGGAAGACAATATTAAAAATGCCTGGAGAAATTAAGACATAAGCAACCCTTTTGTGTTAGGAGGAATTAAACCACCAAACCTGAAATTCTGGGAAGGCCAACAAGGTGTGATCACTGCCCTCAGGACAACTTGCGAATTTCTAACAGGCATTTGGGCACACCCTATGCTGGACAAATTCTTGAATTGCAGATCTTCAGCAAGAGGAATGAACTTCTAAATCCAAAGCTCGAAGATGAAAAGTAAGCGCCCTGCTCCGCATTTATGTATGAGTGTTTTAATGGATGATGATGAATGGGAAGGGGGGGGGACTGACGAATCAGCAGTATCAAACTGCCTTTTCTATCGATTCCCAAGGCCGCAGGCTATCAGAGTCTCAACGTAGAGAAAGAGGTTTTTGAAAGCACGAGGTTGCAGCCTTCCCAGGAAAGAGGCGAACAAGGCGGAGGGCAGAGAAGGCTCCGACCCGGTTGAGATCCAGGAGAGCTTCCCCAAGCAGGCGGAGTCATTCCTTGCCAGAGACGCGAGCTACCTACCTGGATGGAGCCGCGCCCTACCCGGGCGGGACTCGAATGTAGCCTCCTCCGTTCCTTTCCCGGGCGAGAGAAAAGCCTCGGGAGAAGGAGAATCTCTGGCCACACGGTGGTGCCGCCGCTTCGCAGGCGGGGAAACCCGCCCTCCTCACCCGCAAGAAAGCCAGAGGGCCTCCGGGCTTCACTTTCTGGTCCCCTCATGGCTGGATTCCGAACCGCAGGGAAGCGGAAAGGGGCCGCCAATGCGCGGCCAGCGGCCGAGAAGGGCCTCCGAGTCTCCCGCGCCCACCTCCCGCCAAAGGTCGGGCGGAAGACGGGAGATTGCCGCACGCGTTCGCCGTCCCGCCCGCCCGCGTCAGGCCAGCACTTACCTCATGCGGCGCAGGAAAAGACTGACGGAGCGTCGCAACAACGCACATGCGCACAGCAGCCGGAAAGGGAAGCGGGAAGGCGCGTGGGTGACCGGGGAAACAAGCTGCGACGAAGGGCGTCTGCGGTACGTTTCTTGCGCTATCCGGAAGCCCTCGGCCCCGCCCACTCCCACAAGCATCCTTCTCCGCCATTGGCTGCGTTTCATAATGGCCCCACCTTAGTGGAGCCGCCCGCCGGGATCTCTTCCAGTTTCTCTATCGCCTCTCTTTCTCATATTTCCTACAGAGTTTAATTATGCCTACACCTGTTGCCGTCATCAGTCGGCGCCCATATGCTTGAAACTAGCATGTCATGCTTGTCAAATCAGGTGCTCCTTGTACGGAAAGCGCCTCCGCTGAAAGGGTTTCAGCCGTTGGGTGGGAAGAGTTACTAATGGCGGGGCCTTCGCGTCGAGTCCGGATTGGTCGGATAAGCAGCGCGCGGCGTTTTATGTTCTTGCGGGGACTAATTCGAATAAAATAGAGTACGAAAGATATTTTAGTTCACTTGGTTGCGCGGTGTCCATTTCCCCTCAAATTGCATACATCGTCACTGAAACTTCCTTGTGCTGCCGCTATCGGCTTTAGCAGCGGGGTTAGGAGATCTGTTAGAAAAGCATGGAGCAGCAGTTGGACTAGACGACCTCTCAAGTCCTTTGCACCTGCAGATTCTCGGATAAGCCTTCAGCAATTATTTTCCCTGTGATAAACACTTATTAGTAATTCCCCAAAACAAGCAATACAATAATCTGTAGTACTAAGGCGTGCAGCTAAATGTATCTCCAACTACACTATACTATAGAATTGCTCATCAGGGCTCCGATTAGCTAATAACAAAAGTGATGAAATACTATTAAAGTCGGCGGGTGTAAAAGGACAAGAGATAGAGCACCCTCTCTTCCAAAAACCTTGAACGGCCGGGTTGGATTTGTAAAATTGGAAGGAAGGATTTTGGGTCTAAATCCAAGCTTATTGGTGTATGAAGGGGAAGATGGTCAAACTCTCACTACAGGAAGGCTTTCACAAATGGGAAATTAAAATGAAGGCATCCGATTTTTATCATGTGACCACGGGGATGCTGCAACGCTGTGTAAAATGGTCATAAGTCATGTTTTTCAGTGCCGTTGTAACTTTGAACAGTCACTAAATGAACTATCGTAAGTCGACCTGTATTTAAAAATTACAGTAGCTTAACATAGAATTTCCGCTGAAGGCCGTTTTCGTTACACATCAGGAGTCTTTCAAAGTAGCTTCTCTTCAAATGAGAAATGGGCATCTAATAATTAAAATAAAAATGTTTTCTGGTTTCGTTTCTCTTCAGAACCAACCCCTAACTAAGTTGAAAAAGCCTCGGCTGGAAATCATCAGAGAGATGGTCATGTGGAAAATGTCATCATTGTCATCATCATCATCACCATTGTCTATCCACTGCAGGATGAAGGCTTCTTCCGCATGTTTCCAACCAAAACAATCCTGAGTTTTCTTTTGCCAATTGCCTGCAATGATTGCTGATGTCATCGATCCATCTTGTTTTAGGTCTCTTTCATGGACACTTTTTATCAAGTGGAATCTATTCTATGACTGCCTTGGTTTTAGAAAGAGCCGGCATAGTCATATTCCACTCAGTATCAAGGATGCAGCTGTAGAGGTGGTCAACAGTATTAAGTATCTGGGGGTGCAGATAACTAACAGTTTGAACTGGTCTCTCCACACATCATCCTTAGTGAAGTGTGCAAACCAGCATCTGCATTTCCTGCATTGGATGAGGAGAGCACATCTTTCTCCTTCTGTCCTAGCCACTTTTTACAGAGGCATGATTCAGAGCGTTTTAACAAACTGTATCACTGTCTAGTATGGTGGCAGCAGTGCCTCACATAGAAAGTCCATACAGAGAGTGGTAAGGACAGCCGAAAAGATCCTAGGAAGCTCACTTCCTGGTATGCAGGATGCTGCTTATAAGCGCTATATGCTTAGAGCTCAAAGCATTGTTAGAGACCCCACACAGCCACTTCATGATCTGTTTCTGTTGCTCCCCTCTGGGAGGTGGTTTCAAAGTATTTCTAGCAGGACTGCCCAATTCTGTAATAGCTGTGTTCCCTAAGCCATCAGTCTAGTAAACTCGCAAGATTCGTTTTTCTCACCATGCACATGTATACATAACCCGAACTAGACTGTTATTTCTCTGTGTCATATAATATATGTGGGTATATGCATCATTCTGTATTTGTTTTTGTCATATTTATGTAGTATATATTGGAGGTGATGACTCTTTGATTGCTGTATGCAATGAAATTTCATTTTAATGTATGCCAGTTAGTGTAGATTCAAAGTGACATTAAAATTATTCTATTCTATTGGTCCACCTGCCATCTCTTCAGTAAAACCATGCAATACATATCAGGGATATGTATCGCATGGCTTCATCCAGCAGGTGGAGCTGGTGGCCTTGAAATAATACAGAAAGGCTGTTTAGAGCTAGAAATGTGCATGGTGGTTGCTGAATGTGTGCAAATGGCTTAGGAAGATGTTTAATTAGGCAAGCCACTGAAGCTACAGAAAGATATCAAATGAATAGACATCTCTCATGTGGATCTCATTGCTGTTTCAGGGGAGAGTTAGTTGAATAAAGAACAGAAATTAGGTGATAGCTATAGACAAGTGAGACAAGCTGCATCTTCCTATCTGTCTACAGAAGGCAAACAAAGCTGGAAAAAAATTTTTAGCCCAAAACTTACAGGTTTACTTTCTCCTGAACTGTTGATCAGTTCATAATCTTTGGCAGAATTTCCAGAGCATAATAGTTTATTCTGGATTTGAAATTCCGTTTCAGCGATGAAACAATTTCAATCGCAAGAGAAGTACCTCCTGGTATGGAAAAAATGGATAGATTTTATACAATATAAGTTGGATATAAAAAATATTATTTAGTTTTTGAATAATTTATATTTAAAATTCAAGATAATTTATAGACACTTTTTTAAATTTTTTAATTTTTCTTTTTTTATCTGATTTTTTCTTTTTCTGTTTCTTTTTTCTTTCTTGTATTCTTTTTTTATATATTGTTAATTATTTTATAATTTGTTTAATTAATGTATTTAGATTTGTTTATGGTTTACATGTGTCTTAAGATTTTTTAAAAAAATTTTTTTAAGTAAGCCTGTATTCAGCTCTGGGAAGGTCGGGGGAGGGTAGGGGAGGTTGGGAGGGTTTGGGGAAGGGAATTTTTTTTTGTAAAATTTAAAAATTTTCAATAAAAAAAAGAAAGAAAAGAAAACAGGGAAGAATCCTTCGACTAGGCCAGGGGTAGGCAACCTTGGCTCTTTTATGACTCAAGTGGACTTCAACGCCAAGGTTGCCTACCCCTGGACTAGGCTCTGCTAAAGGTACTGAATGTTTTAATTTTCATTCCTGTACTAAGCAAGGGCTTGGGGTAAATGTCTTTCAACTCTAATTCAGTTTTAACAAGCAGCCTTCAGTAGCTCTCAAGTTTGCAGACAAGCTTTTACATCTCCCATGAGTCTAGAAATGCTAAACTGAACTCATTGCTTTAGGTAACTATTGGTACAATAAAAATATATTATTTCAGGGTATTTTTTCCCTCTATGGCACTACTAGTTTCCATTCTTTTATCCCCATAATGGCGTGTGGATAAAACATTAGGGGACCCACAACAAACTGCCCGCATTGGGATTCTTTCTAATTCATTATTGAAATCCTATCAACAGCTTCGGTACTTATGGGCGTGCAGCAAAATCCATTTAACATGTCTTGTGGTAAAGATGTTGTTGCCTTAATCACCGCTGGGTAACGGATCAAGTGAGGGTATGGAAATGGCTTTGAACAATAGGTTGCTAATGATGAATATTGTTATGGCAAATTCATCTAAATAGCATCTGAGGGGAAAACCTATTCACAGCCCTTCACAGCTGTGGATGGTTTTGTGAAGCTAAATTCCCATTGTGAGTCAGGTTCTTTGTTCCCTGCTGTAGTTGCTCTATTGAGCCTGATAAAGAGATCATTTTTACTTGAGCATTTAAATGGCCCATTGCTGCTGTCTAAACCAGGTTTTCTTTTAATGAATATCTATCTGTCTTCTTAAGTCTCAGGAATAATGTGATTTAGATTTTCATTTATGCTTCAGCTGCAGAACTCATTTTAGTTATTTTTCCGTTTAGATCAACCTTGGTCTGATGAAAGCCACTAATGTTGTGGCCACTAATATAGTGTTTTTCCAAACTTGGCAACTGTAAGATGGCTTGGACTTCAGCTCCCAGAATTCCTCAGGTAGCATGCTGGCAGAAGAATTCTGGGAACTGAAGTTCACCTATTTAAAGTTGCTGAGTTTGAAAAAAACTTCCACTACTTTGTAGTTTTCTCTCCAGGGATGTCCTAATTGGGGTAGAAGGGAGAGGAATCAACATGGAACCCACATGGCTTAGGTTTCAAGAAGTCCTCATGTTGCTGCCACTGGAAATGGCCTTAATTTAGCAGCTAAGCATCTGATAAAACAAGCAGGCTGGAGGAGACAAGGAAATAAATATCTGTAGATATTGTGGGAGGACAGCACCCCCTTCCCCGAGAAAGAAATATTTGGAGAATATTAAAAAGCAGAATATTATATTTCCCAAAAGAATATGGTAACAGAGAAAGAAAATCTTAAAAAGACAGAAACCAGCCCCAGCCCCTCTCCCCAGGCAGAGGCCAGGTCTGTAGAAATGCAGATTTGGCAATCCTATTCAGAAATGTTGAAACCAGGAAACTAGAAGCTGCTGAGATTAGGAAGACAAAGACCCCTAAAACCTACATACCCCACTCAAACTCTAAAGATATGACCTTTAGGACATAATAGGATTAACCTACCAGCATCAGAATACAAAAAGGGCACACTCAGACTCAGGTCAAAATACATGACACAGGAAATACAAAGCCTCAAACAGGAACAAC